AGCACAGGAAGGAGATGATGCATTGAAAGTTCAGACCTTTAATCAAAATTTCTTAAATCTGAATTTTCCATATACTGCATCGCTTTTAAAACACTGGGGCTCCACATGGTGACGGACACCTCTAATCCTAGCAGTCAGGAGACAGAGACAGAAAAACCGCAAGTATTTAGTTAGCCTGGGGTAGCCTAGTAAGATCCTATCTCAAAAAGAAAGAGAAAAGAAAAGAACATTTAGTTTAAGTCAGGTGTGTGAAACAATAGGGACAGGGGAAGACTTGGTCACCTCACTGAATCTACAGTCTTGTTAAAAAAAAAATCAAAACTAGAACAATGGACAGTTTATGATATGATATGGTAATGAGCCTCTTATTTTGAAGTCTTTCCTCTTAAATAAGAAATAAATTCTGTCTTTTTTTAAAAGGTGGACACACCTTTGAGGTAAGTTAAAATGCATGGGTTTGGGACCAGCCTTTATGGTGCACACCCTTAATCCCAGCACTCAGGAGGCAGAGAGATAGGAGACTCTCTACATGTTCAAAGCCAGCTTGGTCTGCACAGTAAATCCCAGGACAGCCAGGGCTACGTAAAGAAGCCGTATCTCAAAAGAAAAAAATGAACAAACACAAAACATGAGTTTTGTAATTTGTAATATTTACTAGTCTTTGTAATTTTGGAAGTTAGTAAAATTAGTGAGGCCAAAGGTTTCATAATCACTGCAAGTGTACTAGTCTGTCAAGAAATGCATTTCTATGGGACAGGAAGATGTTACAGGCACGTGCTTTATTATAGAGGAGTGAACTTTTGTTCCCAGCACCCATGTCATAGGGAGCACAACTCCATCCCAAAGGATCAACATCTTTCCTTGCCACTGTGGGCAATGCACTCAGGCACTAGTCTACATGTGCGTGCACACACACACACATAATTGAAAATAAAACAAAAAGAAATTTACTTCTCAAGGCCATAACCTACACTTCTTACTAGAAACCTCTTGTTCAAATTCATGATAATTATCCCAAGTGGACCAGAACAAGCAGTCACAAAACTGTGGAATTAAAGAGGTGGAAAGGGTCACAGAATCTGTAACGTCAAAAAGCACCGCCAAGTGGGTATTCTTTTCAAAACTCTTGTCCCAGGTAGCCATTGCTCCATAATTTCTGCTAAGCTTTAAGCCAATAAGGACAGAAACACTTGGTCTCATTCACCATTGTAAACCACCCCCTCCCAATAATATATTGTGACCATTTAACGTACGTGAATGAATGGGTGTCTCTGGAGACCTGTTGGGGTACACCACTTACATACAAGTGCCTGTCTTTGTGAAGAGCTATAGAGTGGAGAAGTCTATTTGAACAGCAGTCAAAGGATGCCTCCAGTGAGTTAAGGCTGCCTTCCAATAGAGGCTGCTCCCCTTCACTGGGCAAGCTTTGCCAATAAACTTTGCTGTCTAAATAACAAGCCCCAAAACAAAATCGTCCCCAAGCGTTCTTGCTCTCTTCTTTATAACCAACTCTTTAGAAATGGTATCACCCTGGATGTAACATACTTCCCATGGAACCTAGCTATCCCAGGAATGGGGTCCTTATACCAAAGTATCCATACATGCCTTTCAGCTGTTGGGAAGAGGAAATGTAGCCCCTTTCAGGAAACACCAGCTGGTAGCACCATGAGCCTCTCCTCTAGAAGGCTTGATTAATCTATTGAAAATCCTTAGAGCGGACAGGTTCAGAAGAAGTGTGACAGAATTCTCCACACACTTGAACCCATAATAAAATAGCTGAAGGTTTTCCTTTCTGCTTGAAGGCTAAGAAAAGATTCATTGGACCTGAAAGGTTCTGGGTCTCCCATAAATGTAGTGATTTGAACTGAGACCTGAGTCTGAACGAAGAAGCAGTAATTCAGTAACACGAAATGGGGAAGAGTTTAATTGTGCTGGAGATTTTTTTCTACTTTTATGACATGTGGGATTGTGAACCCATTCACCTTAATACTGGGTAATGAGGCCTATAAAATAAGTCATAAAAGTGCTTTGCAATGCTTTTGGAAAGTTTAATCTTATGGAACAATCTCATTATTCAAACCATGTGCACTTCTTCCAGAATCCTAGAAAGCGAGAGGTTCCTGAACATTTGAGAAGCAACACCCTCCCTACCTTGATTAATGAACTGAAAAGGCAGAAGGCAGAATTAGTTCTTAAGTTACTTCATATCTGTAGAACTGAAACACACAATGCTTTAGTGTCTTCAAGCTGAATTTAATTTTGAAATGGTCCAGAAATGTCTAAAAAGAGATATTGGTTTGAGATGGAAGTGTGAGACCAATAGTAATTTAAAAGAAAAACTTATTTTATGAAGTTACATTTCTCTTGCTTAAAAAAAAAATCCAGAGGAAAAATATTACCCTAGATGATCAAAATGTAAATTTAAGTAATTGAAGATGATAACATTCAAAGATAATAAGGTTGCCATATTTACTTCTTGTTAATTTGTGTTGGTACAGATAGGAAGAACTAACCTAAAAAAATGCTTGTCAAAATTTAAATTTAAATTATGTATGCTTTTGAACTAAAAATAATTTGTACCTTTGTAACCAGAAAACCTGTACATCTGACATAAATGTGGAAGAAGTTTCTTGCAGCTGTTTGTCACCATATGACATTAGAAGAGATGGAATGACCACAGTTAGGATTAATCAATAAAATATTAGCCAACTACTTAAAAGCATAAATTAGACATTGGTAATAATGCTAGAGGGGTGTCCCTTTATTAGCATTTAACCAGAGGATGATATACAGAATATAGACTCTTTTTCGTAAAAACAAATAGCCGAAAGATCATTTCTGTGCAAGCATGGCAATTTTAACGTTGGTTACTTCAGTACTGCACTGAGAAGTAACTTCAAGGAGACTTCACATTTCCACAGTCTATGTGAGTATCCTCAAAAATCGCTCCACATAAAAGAAAAAGAATGTACTTCCTTATCCCACAACTTCAAGCAAAGTGAGTATTTCTTTCCCATCTACTTGTCAACAAACCACAGCACCTAAGCATGCCAGCATGAAAATTCTGAAGTCTCCTCATGACAGACAAGGAAAAAAAAAATGCTTTTCATATAATAGGAGTTCACAAAAATGATCCTCATCTAATATTTTAACTTCCTAAAATTGCCTTTAAATCTTAGAATTTAAGATTTTAAAAAAATAAGCTTAAGTATTTAAAAACTTAAATGAATTTATACCACAACCTGTGAGGATTTTTGGGTTTTTTTTTTTTCAGGTAAAATACTAGTTATAATTATAAAAATAATACAAACGTTAGTTCTTCTTTTATTGGTTTATTTCTTTAGTTGGTTTGTGACATTTCCCATTGGTCTAAAACTCACTTAGACATTGTCTTCTCTATCAGAATAAGGAAGGATCAGAATGAGTCTTCAAGCCATTCAGCAAACACTGTGATTTTTTTCTGTGATCTTCAAAGTTTATCTTCCTGCATTAGCCCAAGTTTACATAGCATATTTTTCATACAAAGTTCTTGTTTGCAAATATAAATACAAATGGAAATTTTTTAATAATTAATTTTCTAAAAACTAGAATAAACTCTTTGAAAATGATGGTGTTTCGTTCTCGTGTCTCTTTCTCCTTAGGCCCCAAAGTGTCTACCATGGAACAGGATTTTCTGGGTGAGAATGTAACTTGGATAAACTGAGCTTCCGTTTTTTCCTGGAATTCAAGAGGTATATGCACAAAAGTAACTTATGCATGCCATATTGAAATACCCTGTCACATTTGTTTATCTGGCTCATCACCAAACGACTAAGCCTCAAGAAGGTGAGGATGCTACTTTTTATTTCATTACTTCCAGGATCCAGCAGAGTACTTGACAGGAAAGAAATTAAGTATTCATTGAGCGAATGAAAATATAAACAACTGGGCATGTATATAACCTTTTTAAGTAAGAGAATATAAAGTTGTTGACTGCTATTACACAGGTGGAAAATGTGGAAGCTGGTGAAGTCATTTTAAATATTTATACCACACTACTGTGCTTCTGTGTTGTAACCAGACATTTAGGACGTTTTCAGTAGACAATAAGGTCTCAAAAGATTGACAACCAGGTAACGTAAGAGTACTTACATAAATGATAACCCAAACCCAGCATTTGTTATCTTAAAGTAGCAATTTTCACATATAACTGGGTATTTTTTTCCACTTCTAGCGATTTCCAGTTTCTGAAAATACCTCACTCAGAAATAGGCGAGGCACAGCTGGTAAAGTCAGTGAATCACTGTTTTACCTGGTGGCCACGTGTCACCTTGCCTTCAGTTTATACTTTGAAAGATGCACAGAGCAACTAATGGTATCGTTAATAGTTCTTTTTCCTAACATCTTAAATTTATAGGAGTTAATTCTATTGCATTCCAGTAATTCTACTTCAAGTTTTTTTTTTTTTTTTTTTAAAGCAACAATAACAAAAGCAGCACAATCCTGCATTCCCCTGTCTGTAAGGACAGTTCACGTCTTGGTCTTCATTAGCACAAGATGTGACATTGTTGAGATTAACCAACCCATCGTATACATTAATCAAATTAAACTAATACTTGACAACCTGATTTTCTTCAGACTGCTTGGATAAATAATAAGCAGACAAAAATCACCGTTGTCGCGGTTTCCCCTCGTCAGCTTCCCCTTCCATTTGAAAATTAAATCGTTCCCAGTATGTTGCTTTTTCTATAACGCTCGGGGTAAGAGCCTCGGTGGAGGGGGAAATGTGAGAAGAAATGAGCATGAGCAAGGAATCCCCACCACCTGCTGCTTCCTCGACTCCAAAACTCCAGCGATTCCCAGGGAAGAGAGAAATCTGGAGGGGAGGGGAAGAAGGTTGGTGAGAGCAAGAGGCGGGAGCTGGGAGGGGAGGCAGGAGGAGGCGTGGCCGGCCTGGGGCCGGCGGGATAAATACTGAGCACTGGGTGCGGGGTGCAGAGAACTCCGGAGGACGCCCGAGCGGAGCAGCACCGCGGACAGCGCCCAGCCGCGCCGCGCCCAGCCCAGCCCGCCAGCCCTGCCGCCCCGAGGTTCGCGCCCCGCGCTCTCCGACGCTCGCCGCGGCACCATGGCCGAATCCCACCTGCAGGCGCCCCTTATCACAGCCTCACAGTTTTTCGAGATCTGGCTTCATTTCGACGCTGACGGTGATTCTTTTTTTTTTAACCCTTTCAAGACCCGTTCCCATTCCTTCCTGCCCGTTCTGTCCACTGAGCCTCTTCATCCCAACCATCCTTTTTTCTGTCCCTTCCTTCTTCTATCATCCTGCCTAATATTGTCTTCCCCCTGGCTGCAGACCCGTCAGCCTGGAAGTTTGCGTTGCGAGTAGGGCACCCCCACGCTGTAAGCGGTCTCCTTTCTAGGAACGGTAACGGTAGGACAGAAGCAAAGATTGAGAAACCCTGTTCCCCAAAAGTTTCAAAGACCCTCCAGCACACCTAGTCTCCTTTGCCCTCGGTGCTGTTGAAGTTTGACACCTCGCAAGGAGAGAGCTGTATCCCATTGCTGATTAATCGGTACTCGGGCTACATAGCTCCCAGGACCACTGTCCTAGAAAGAACGGAGAAGAAACTTAGAAAGAGACATCTGACACCTGGGTGCCTCTTTGTCTTTGCAGGAAGTGGTTACCTGGAAGGAAAGGAGCTGCAGAACTTGATCCAGGAGCTTCTGCAGGCGCGAAAGAAGGCTGGATTGGTAGGCTTGGGTTTGTGCCGGACCCTTCAATCCTTAAACATACTTATTCTTGTGTTTCATGGGGGAAAGTAAATGCTTACGTACTAAGAAAGGCAAGAAAGAACATCTTTCCAAATTGCGTCAGGAGAAAAAGTGTGTGCGTGATGTGTGTGTGTGCGGAGGGGTGGATGGATGTCCTAAAGAGAAAATTCCTATTGTTTTAAATTGAACATATATATTCTATACCTTTCCTTATTAGGTCTTAAAATGAAACGTCCATGTGCGAGACCCTTCCTCAGACCCCCACCTCTACCCCTGAGTTGGTTGGGTGATTCCTAACTTCTCTTTTCTAGAGGATAGGTTAGGGGTAGAAATAACATTTCTGCCCCTTGGTGGCCAGGAGCAGATCTGCAGATTCTAAAGCCAATTTTTGCTGCGATGTCAATATGGTGGGGGGATGGAGATGAGAAAAGAGCTTGCCTTAATATCCCTGAGAAAAGATAACCAACTTGTAACTTAAGTGTGAGTGAAAATTTAGCAAGAAACGTTTTTCTTTTTTGTTGAAGAGAAACCCAAAAAATTAAGAAAGCAATAAGAAAAAGTATTTTAAGAATTTCATGTATTATAGAAAGAAAAATTTCTGATGAGAAATTATTAGTGATAATTTATAAATAAGCTATGGTTTTTACTTAACCCATTGGATGAATAAATCATAACTATTGATTATAAATTAGTTCCTTTGGGCCAAATTTATTTGTTGGGAAAAGATGATGTCAACATAAAAATAAAATGTACTCAGCCAGCTTTTAAACATGTGAGATGTTTTATAAAGAATAGGTTGAGAATTTTACAGGTCTGTTGGCATTTACGTAAGCCTTCCTTTCAGAAAGCAATGCCAGATTTGGAGTAGTTGAATGTTAATGGTCTTTGACCTTTTGAACTACGATTACAAAGAAATGTTTACATAAAGATGATATATATTATCCCTAGATATTATATAGCATGCCACCTTTTCTAGTGCTGTGTGTCTGATGTATTAATAGAACTGTGGGTTTTTTGGTTTTGTTTTGTTTTTTTGTGTTTTTTGGTTTTTTGGTTTTTTTTTTTTTTTTTTGCTTTTGCTGTTCTGTCTATGATGAAATTTTTATAGCAAGTATTCCAATGAAAATACCTGCTATAAACCATATTAAAATATTAACATATTAAAAAATAACATATTAAAAATAATCCCAGAGTGCTATAAAAGCTCTCTGATGATTACAGACAGACTATCAAGTTGCTAAAATCATGCCAAACTGACTTTAAACCAGAATGTGCTCTGGGGATTCTTTTACCCAGATTTAATATAGTGAATCTAAAAGTGCAATAGAATGAGATCAAATAAAAATGTCTTCTATGAACTTTACCCTGTTTTTCCTTTATGCATTAGCATGCAAAAAAATTTCTGTAATGCTGTCACTACAGTTTAATGTATCTTCAGCTGATAAAACAAAATAAATTTTTTCTTCACTTAAAAGATATTAAATGTATATAGAATGTCTTATTTTTCATAAAAATTATAATTACAACCTTGAATGGTGCCCCTAACAGCTAACTGATCATGTTTTAATCTTCCAGAAGAAACTTTACTATTGATATTTAGTTCCATTCAATAAATACAAATATTCATGAGATCTGTATTTTTCAGATATTTTCCTTGTCTCCTTTTAATACTTTTACTTTTTTTAATTAATAAAGAATTAAAAAATAAAAAAAGATTAAAAAAAGTTCAGGCAAAAGTTACACAATTAGAGCTTATTTATTTTTTCTGCTGCCGAGAATCTAATTTTGGTTCATGAGAAGCCCTAATTAGATTATCCTTTGATAAAGCTAATCTTTCAAACAGTATGTGGTCATATCAAATTGCTTATTACCTTGCTTGATACCTGAGTATTTTTTCAGGGTTACATAATAGGCTTTGGTTGGATGACTAAACGTCCAAATTAAGATGTAGATTAAGAATTCATATATATATTCGGGACATTTCGTTTAAACTGGTGGTCCACTGCCATCAACCTACTTTCACGCATTTCTTCTCCTTCAAAAGCACACATGCCGACCCGATAGACAAGGCTTTTCATTTCCCGACTTAGAAGGACAGGGAGAAACATTTCTTTGGCTCCTCACATTAATAATGTGAGTTTTTCACATTTTTGCCAAGTGAATATGACATTCCAGTGCACTATTTACCAAAAGAGTATCCTTTTGCACTAAACAATGTCTCATTATTACATTTGCCCACATCTTTATAAATCTGTAATTGATGATGATGATGACTGTAGCAGGTCCCTCACTATTTAAAACATAGAGCTCAACTACCCAGAAACTTGGCAAGGTAAATATCAAGGCTGCTACTCGAATTGTAGCATCACATAATTTTAATATATTAAAAGTATAAGTATAAGTAAATTAATTTATTGCTGCTGTCTATCTTAGTTCTATTATATACGTACAATGACTTCAACAGGGTAAATGCTGACATTCATACTTTAGAGTTTCAGCGTGGCCCGCACCTTGTATTAGACCAGCTCTCCATCCCTACAGTAAACTTTTGTGGCCGCCACCACCATCTTGTTCATTATGGTAGAACTTGAGATCTTAGTTTCCTTTCCGAAGGAGGTAGACTAGAATATCAGTAAGACTGACCTATTTTAAATAGACCAGTTCATGTAACAGGGATATTTTAAGTGGGATTTGTTTGAGACCCACTTAAAATAGCTTACAGTTAATGACTATCTAATATGTTAATATGCAATGTGACTATAAAAAGGAATAACTATATTGAAGGTGAAGAAAGTCAAATGAGAAGATAGCATTTACTTAGTCACTTCAAAGCACTATTTATTATACAAAATACATGGGAAAATATTATCTTGAAGAAAATGGAAGCAAGGGAAACTTGGAAAATTGTTTCTTATGTTCCTAGGAGAGGCAAATATCAGACACATTTAATTGGTGGCCTAAAATACAGTCTTCAGTATTGTCAGTTCCTAGTGAAAACGCAAATTTGTCAAGCCGTTTTCTCCTCTCACACTTTTCTCCCGACATTTAATTTTCTAATTTTATTTAGTGAGCACGCACCTGTTTCGAGCCAGATTCATTGTTTACAAATGGGGCTACTCTTTTATATACTTTTTATATTTTGCTTGTTGGAGCCAAATATCACTCCTACCTCCCATAGATAAGACGCTATATAAAAAAGGAAATATTATAAGACAAAACTACATAGCAAAATAAAATAAGCTTCCACAAAGCAAACAGTTTAAAAGTATATTAACAGCTATATTTCAGGTTTTTTTTTTTCATTTTTCTTTGCAGTAATTTATCAACATCATTCCAAAAGACTGTCTTTTTTTTTTTTTTCACAAACACCTTACCTGATTTTTTATAATTTTAGGAGTTATCACCTGAGATGAAAACCTTCGTGGATCAGTATGGGCAGAGAGATGATGGAAAAATAGGAATCGTAGAGGTAAGGAACCCATGCATTTGTCTGACTTAATGAATGAACATCAGCTTTGAAATTTATCAAGTTATCTCCAGTCAAGCATAACTCATTCATAGAGGCCATTCACTGTCAGTAATATAGCGTCTTCTCTTTTGACACATCAAATAAAAAATGGTAAAATCTTAAAAAGAGACTGAAGAGTTTAATGCCGTCCACATCCCAATATGCAGACTGAAAAGTGAGAGAGAAGTCTTTCTCACTGCCATAGTGGACCAAGCAAGCCCCAACTTCGAGTGAGCATATTCCACACCCTCAGTAGTGTCCAAGTACCCACTTAACTGTTACCGTATTACACTGTTATTTTTAACAGTGTAAACTTCTCTGTGGGTCCTGAAATCAAATACGTTCAGTCCTATGAAGATGTCATGGCAAAACCCTGCATCCTGGTTTCTGAAATTTTATTTCAGATTGAGAGATGGCCCTAGCAAAGTCCTACGATGACTAAACACTTCACAGCATTGTATAGGTACACATTTTTGAATCTCAAAAAGTTAAAACCATCAGTGTTGAATCTTGCTTTTTGACAAAGACTTTTTCTCTTAAAGACATCTTATTATGCCTATGAATCAGCAAGGAAAGAAAACCAATTATGCATCCATCTCTATATTCAATTTGCAAAATAGCTGCTGCTTCCATAATTCCTACAGTGATATCTAAGCTGTGTTTAAAAAATAACTATTAAAAAACTGGGTAGAAAGCTATCTATAAAAATTAATAAAATCATATTTTAAAATATGACAAATTATAATTATGTTCATAAAACACTCTCAAGCTCTTCAGTTGTGAACTGCAGCAGCTTTCAAAAGTTAGTTATAATTTACTTTTTATTCAGAGACTTAACCTGGTTTTCAAATAAAAGATCTTATTAGGACACTTGTAAGACCAGCATGAAATATACATATTTTTAAACACCCTACTACAAATAGAGTGAAGGGAGGACATACTATTATTATCTTTGTAATTAAAATTTCTCCCTGGAGCATACACTTTCTCCTTTTGCCTGTGTGCAACTCATTACTGTATAAATAGATAATAGTTATTGAATTTAAAGTTGAAGTAGAGACTGACTAATCAAGACAAGAATAATAAAATTATGTTTCTGAAAATAAGTAAAATGAGATAAATAATTACTTAAAACTAATTTGAAAATCTATTGTAAGTGATTTTCTACACTGGTTCCTTCACAGTTTGGGCTACTTTATAATTTTAGGTGAAGGAACACCATCATCTTGTATTTAGCCTTTTACTTTGAAGCACTCCAGTGGACTCAATTATTTATTATGTCACTTATTTGGTGATATGAGTCTATGTAGTTAAAGCATGGAGTTTATTCACAAAGTGTTAAATTTTTAAATAGGTGAAGTTGATTAACTGAGATTATGCTCTGTGAGATAGAGTTTAACCATTCTGGACTTCTCATTAGAACTTTAATGTCAATGAGAAGCTGGAACCCAGAAAACTCATTGTCTTAAAATACGATGAAACACAAGTTTAAGATAAAACTATTATGGGGACAAAAAGGGGCTTTTTCTATGAGTAAAGAGAAATAGAAGTAAAAGAAGATGGATAAGAGAGAACAGCGTAGCTTAATGAGACTGTGTTCTGTATAGCTGTGAGCACTCATGACAGTTATTAGCCATGATTTTGAAGAACGTAGCTGAAAGAAATTCTCTAAAAATGGGAGATGAGGAAGAAGACTGCTGTAGTGGTTCATAAGGCATGTCCAGGGTAGCCACATAAGAGCTGAGAGAAGGTAAGTCCAGATGTATCCCTGGGAAAAAAAATAGGAAAATGGTACAGGAAACATACAGAAGACAGGGAGACAGTGTGATAACTCACAGTTCACCCTCTGGTAGCAGCAAAAGGTTGTGTTACATGAAGTTCATTCTGTGTCTAATTTGATGTGTGGTATTACTTGCTTAGGAGTGTTCCATAGAGTGAGGCATTCCAACATAAAAAGCCGAGCTAGCTATAATAAAAGCACAAAACCCCATGTTTTTCAAATATATTTCTAATAATATATTTCAATTTTAATATACATATGTAAGCCATATATATGTTGCTTAGTTTTCAATGTTCTGAGCTGATACAGTGCACGAACAGTTTCCAAAACATCCATTTTTACCTAAACATATTAAAAAGAAGAAATGTTGATATGCCTAACATTCTAAATTTGGCAATGTGATCACTTTAATAGATTTTAAAATTCACATGAAGATGGTCCAGTAATAACAAGACTGTTAATATAAATTCAAAAGTGGAGCATTGAAAATCTGAGATAATTTAACGAATGCCACGCAGTCAGAAATGTTCTAAATTTATTCAGACTAATAAAGCTCTGTTGTAAAGAAGGTCCATTAAAATAATTAAGTAGGAAGACTAAATGATTTAGCAAGTCACGGAGTTCTTTTCTCTAGGTCTCACATGAAGTACACACAGATATATCCTTCTGCTAGACGTCAGATCTTTAAGCTTTCCTTCCGTCCCCTTGGGCAATGTGTGGGAGCCTATCAGCTTCTCTAGACCTAGTGTTTCTACTTGTCCAGGCCACTGCGTACACTGAAAAAGAAAAGATCTAAAAGCTATTTTAACCTAAAAACTGTTACAACTATCAGAGAGAAGGGGATGCTTCTCTGGCCATTTCCTTCTGTCTTCCAAGGTAGGGTCTAAGTATATATGCTCGCCAAAATGAAAGCTATTTTTCTTGGCAGATTATGTACTTTAGAATTGGGGAAACATATTAATGGTAAAATCAGGTGTGAATATTTGTTTGGGAAGACTTTTTAAGTGATTAACTAGAAACACTCTTTTTAAGAAATGGGTGCTTGCTGATGGAGAGGGATAAAGGCCTCCAAATCAAAAATGTTAGACCATCTGACTTTAGAACTGCCTCAAACTGCATGTCATAATGCGTAGCAAAGATAGTCTCAGAGCACTGTCAAGACAGTGTGCGAGTAAGCCTGCCACATAGGATACTTTCAGCCCCCCCACCCCCCGCCCCGTCTCTGGATTTACTTCTCATTGGTGGGAAAGATGCTCCTTGGTTTCTCAAATGTGAAAACGAATCCTTGTCTAGCATGCTCAACAAGGGTAATGAATTCTGCTCTTATGCTATCGTGTCTGTCTCAGCTATTTGTCTATGAAGTACCCCCACCATGGGTACTCTTCCATATGGCATTTTGCTCTATTTTTGTACTTACGTCTTGTGTAGAAATTGTTAAGGAAAAAGGTTTTTTAATCATCTGTCTTCCTGTAAGAGTCTTACTGGGGGTGACTATGAATCACCAGCAATCAACATAGTGGCTTCAGCAGCCAGACAAGGCATGGCTACTATTTCACCCTTCTCTAGAGCTTGTGGTAGGAGCTCTATATCATGCTAGGGAAAGAAGGAAGATGGCAAAGAATACAAGAGAAAATCCTGCTGTCGTTGAGTTCCCTGGAAGCAAAGCTGAGTGGAAACAGTGCAAAGAGAATAGCTAGGAATCACTTGGGCATCACTTCCTGCAGAAGGAGAGTAAAGGCAGCAGGCCTGGGCCCTGAGGGGTGCTGGGTCCTCAAAGCTTTAATGGAGAGTTCCTCTGTAATGAGCTCTGAAGTGGGGATGCCACTTCAGAGATTTCCCAAGTGTTAAATAAAAGGGTAGGGCTTTTATACCCTTATGTGAATTAACCATGAGATATAGCCTCCTCGGAGCTGCAGATGTCTTCAGCTCAGACGTTTCCTCAATGAACAGCTGAGTTGCTCAGTAATACTCTGGCACTGGAAGCAGCTCAGGGCAGCATCTCCCAGCTCCTATCAACAGCTCAGTAATAAACTGAATTATGTCCAAGGGAGCTTCACTTCCATAGGTTTACTGATGACTCTAGGCAAAGTGACCATCATTCATCACATCAGTAAAATATTTACTAATGAAGCTGCTAGGCAAGGAAACAGTAGAAAAAAAATGTAGATACTGTCCTCAAAGGTACCATTGACACATCCTAGACCCTGACCGAACTGTTACAGGTGGAGAATTTCCACATCCAAGTCTGAAATTTGAATAATGATTTATATGCATTGACAAAAGAACCAACAGAAAACACAGGACCACCGCATTTTAAAATTTACCTTGAAAGGGAAGTCTTTCTACTCAACCCAGGCACATATCATAGATACACATGCATTGTTTTTTAAATGGTTATTCTGTCTTACAATGATACTTTATGAGTAAAATTTATTTTTAAATAAGATAGTACTATAGAGAGTAACAATAGTTTAATGAGATTTTAATAAATGCATATAGATACTTTTATAGTTAATATAAAAACAGCACACACAAGGAAATATACAGCTATACTATCCATAAAGAACAGAAGGCATGGTGGTGAATGCCTTTAATCCCAGCACTCTGGAGGCAGAGGAAAGTGGATCTCTGAGTTTAAGGCCAGCCTGGCCTACAGAGTGAATTCCAGAACAGCCAGGGTTACACAAAGAATCTTGTCTCAAAAAAAAAAAAAAAGGAGATGGAGGAGGAAGAAAAGAATGAGAGGAAGAAAGAAAGAAAGAAAGAAAGAAAGAAAGAAAGAAAGAAAGAAAG